CCCAAGAGCATAAATATCTTCCCAGAACAATTTGATAACTAGGACTTCCAGAGAGCAGTGCCTGCTGAATGTCACACAGGGAGAGCCCAAGGGACAGCATTTTGAGTTCAGGAATAACCGACACATCTAGGACAACTAGTCTTTCTGTCAAAGATGTTAAGATGAGCCCGTGGTAAAACAGTTCACTCGTCAACAGGAGGTACCGGGAACACTGCGTCTCCATCCAGAAGAACGTGGAGTTGACCTGGACAAAGCTCTGTGTGAGCCAGTGTGGTCAATGGGTTGGATACGGAGGCAGAAATTGCTGATCTTACTAGATATCCATTTTCCCTTTCTTAATGAAAGAATCCAAATGCTCGTGATGGTGACAATGCATCCAGCTAATTACTTGTTTTTCTCACCTCTAATGCAAATATAATACATGAGGATTAACGGAAGTCTCCAGAAAACCCATCCCTGCCTTGTATTTGCCTCTTTTCCCATTGATGCCTGACATGTGGATAGTCAGCACAGCTGCAGGGCCTCTTGGTCCCTGAGGACGGACACCTTATTTGTGAATGCAAAAGAGACAAAGCTCAGGCCTCCAGGTGCCTACCACCACACTTAACTGCATGTGAGGAAAAGCCAACATCTACCTTTTCTCAGTTGTCTCTTCAGTGTGCTCAAACCAAATCCTAAGTGACGCTGTCACTCCACACAGCTGTGGAGCACAGGGTAACAGTGGAAAAAATCCTTTTGGTTCTGGATTAGCAACGGTGTTGAAACTAGATGGGGTCTTGACAGAAATGTAAATTATTAAGTCCTACACCATATCTAGTAGATCATTTCTGAGGAGCCTGCCGATCGGGCTAATAAGCCTTCAAGGTTAGAAACCCCAGCTAAGGAATCGAGAGAAATTCTTCTTATCCAATGTTGCAGGGCAGAGAAAACTCTCCTTGGTGTCATTGGCTTGTGTCTACATACACTTAAGAACTGTTGGGGTTATTTTCAGCAACAGGGCCTCATCATCAAGTTGTTGAGGGCAGCCAACAGTAGCCTTAGCAATAGCCTGTGATGGCATTTTTGGTGGGGAGGGCTTACGGTACCCTTTTGGCCAACAATTCAACAGAACTGATGCACCTATGAACTCATAGAGACTATGGCAGCAAACGTAAGACCAGCACAGGTTCAAGCCTGATGGGGCCCCAGCACTGAGGAGGGAAATGGGCACAGGATCCCACCATTAACCAAGAAGCTATTTGCAATTGATACCATTTCCCTGGGAAAGGGAAAGACAGTTTTCTCTGATGGGAAAATCAGTTTTCTTCAATGGAACATCACTGGGTATATCAACCACACTCCAGGGCGGGCCCCATGCCCAGGAGTAGTTGGCCAACAGAACATTAACTCTGTGGTGTTTTGTGTTGGGGTGGGGGTTGTAGAAGGTAAAGGTTGCTTTGTTTTGATATTTTCTTTGTCTTACTGATTTTTGTTTTGATTTCAGTTTTTTACTTTTGTTGTTTTTGAGAGAGAATGAGAAAGAAAGAGAACATAGGGTTGGGTGGACAGGGTGGTGAAGAGAATCTGGGAGGAGTTGGGGGAGGGGGGCATGATCAAATATATTGTATGAAAAAACATAATCAAAACATTTTTTAAAAAAGAACTGTGAGGGTCAATTAAACATATTTGAGTTCCAACGCCAGGTTCACCATTTTCTGACTACTTGGTAATGGGGAAGCAAGGATATTTGTGAGTTTTGTTGCCCTCACTAATAAGTGGAGATTATATTAACAGTGCCCATTACTGGACAACTGTGTCCAGTGTCCATCAAGTAAAATGGCTATAAATCTAAGCTCTGCACTTGGAATACAGGAGGGACTTTAAGAAAGAAATGAACCCCTCAGCCAGAAGGATGGCTCAGGAAGTGAATGTGCTTACAGCCAAGCTGGCCACCCGAGTTCCATCCTTGGGACCCACACAGTGGAAGCAGAGAAACAACATCTGCAAGTTGTCCTCTGACCAACACACACACACACTCACTCACACACACACACATATACACACTCACATAAATATATACACATACATACACACACACAGTGAATGAATAAGCAAGTGAATAAAATAAATGCAATTATAAAAAAAGAAACAAAAGGTGCCGCTTTCACTGTCTAACATTTACAGTGTGGTGCAGACAGCTGGTCATGTTCTTGGATGTGCATGTGAGCTTAGATCACCTCCCATTCCCTTCCTGCCTCATCCTCATTATTGCCTCTTTCATTCTCTAGGATAAGAGATTTCCAGGCAGGGAGACTCAAGGAAAAAAAAAAGAAAAATACTTTTCTTTGTACGTAACATAACTGTCAGATAAACTACAGGATGGCAGTTGGGAATATCCTGTTGCTAGTTCATGAACCTGTCCATATTGTCAGTTAGAGGAAAAATGACCACCACCTGGAACAGAAACTATGAAGCTCATAGTGCTTTCTCCCAGAGGAAAAGGTGAAAGCAGCATGCTCTTTTCCCCCAGTTTTGGTCTTCCTGCATTTCTTCTACCCAAAAGCCTTGCTTGATGAAAGCCATGGCAGGCCCCTTGCTGCGTCTTGTCTATGCCTCATCTCTACTGTGCAGAAACAATAGCTGGGAAAACTTGAGCTCTCAGCTTGGCCAACCCTTGCATGGGATCATGACGCTTCTTCCACAGTCAATGTGTACGGCACTTGCAACTACGGTATCACTCCCATTTTGCAAGTTGCAGTACCTAAAAGCCATCCCAAACTAAATTCTGACTTCAACTAGTTATTACTAGATTCAGCTAACTATATAGCTCTTTATCTTTTCAAAGATGAAGTTAGAGCAGAAAGCCACAAATCTCAGGGTTAAACCCTTTGAGAGCCATGTTTATATTTGATTGATTTGTTTCAACAGCAGTGGTAGAGGCAGCCAAATGTAATAAAATGCTCAACTTAATTAAAATGTAATATTGCAAATCCCTGTACTGTGTTTTATACACCATTCTTTCCTTTCCTCACACTGTTGCCAGCTTCTAGGTAAATTCACTTTGTCATACAAGTCTAAAATGTCAAGAACTCTGTTCAGACAGTAAAACTTAATGTTATCATGCATCACACCTGGAGTCATAAGAAGACCCACTTCCCTTCTCTGCCTGTCCAATGATTCTACTTTCTGTGAGCTACTTGGGAACCAGGCTTGTACACCTTTCTTCCCCAAGTAGCTCACTAGCCTCTTACTATGCAGAAACAAAGAATTTAGATGGAATCACGTCCATTTTAGGTACTTAATTTCCTAAATGCCAAAAAACTACAGCTCAGTTTTTGGTGTTATACCAAGGGAGTCTTCCAGTTAAGAACTCAAATATTAGGAGTAATTTGTATCAGATAAAAATATTTTATAAAAAAAATTTATGAATAAATCAAATCTTGCTTATTTTATTAAAATAATCAAAGCTGAGTGTGTTGAGACCTACTTTTAATCCCAGGCTTCAGGAGACTGAGACAGGAGGATTGCCATGAACTTGGATCTATAATGAATTTGAGGCCACTTGAGCGTTAATAGCAACAACTTGTCTCAGAGAGTAGAGGGAGAGAATTGACCATAAAAAGCATTTGATTGTAAAATAAACATACATCTGCATAATAACATGAATGCAGGGAATTCGCCTTTAGTAGCTCATTCAAAACTTCTCTGAAATTCTGGTCTTCCCTGGGGAACAGTTAGAAATAGGCTTTCATGTCCATCATCATTTTCTGTATAATTTATGATCTTGCTATTGTTTGAGGTTTATTTTAGGGAAACAACAGTTGACAAGGCATGGATCTGTGATGGATACTTTCCCAAAAGGGCACCACAGTTTCACTGATTGACAAAAGTCCTATAAAAACCACAGCATCGATCACATTTAGTCACTACATAAGAGCAGCCCCCAGATCACATGTTTTGTAGGCTGAAAAGAAAATGAAGGCTGCTGTTTGGCTCCATCGCATGCCAATTATAGTTCTTCTCATAACACACACGTCCCTCTTCCTACTGGCCTCTAAAAACATTCCTGTAAGATTCAGATGTATAAGTACCTGTGTTAACCTAAAGGTCTCACGAAATAACGTCTCCCCAAGTCTATCTAACTCCATCAACCCATGAGAAATTAATACAGATTTCTGACATTCCAGATCTCCTGTCCTTTTCTCTGCCCTCATTGTCATTAAAGGTGTGTATTGGTGGCCTTGTACATTCACTGTCATTAAAGGTGTGTATTGGTGGCCTTGTATACTCACTGTCATTAAAGGTGTGTATTGGTGGCCTTGTGCCATGTGGGGAGACCCAGCTCTGGGAAGATTTGCATTGTAAGTCCACAACAACAAACATTGCACTATATTTTTTTCCCAAAATGTGGTATTATTAGCAAATGGTACTGACCCTGGACTTAGAATTTCTGATAGCTACATCCATATCAAGGCCTAGCTGTGTACAGGGAACACCTGCTATAAAATGTTCAATTAGCGTAGGCCAAGCACCACGGATGACCTGCTTTGCTTAATTCTGGAAAACACGAGAGAGAAGCCATTATCTGAAGTCATCTTTTTCAGAGTAAACTTCCTTGGAATGACTCAAGAAAAATCTGTATGGTTCTGCTAGGTTTTCATTTACCTCTGAGTTTATCTATTTGTAATGCAAATAAACATTGCTTATTCAGGGAAAAACCACTTACTTAAGGAAGGCCCGCCCAACTCCCAGAGGGGCTTGTAGTGAATGAAAACCAAATAAAATACAAATCTGAAAAAAAAGGGGGGGTTTTAGAGGCTGAAAAGGCTCTCTGTAGATTAAAGGAAGTGTTGTTAGGCTGAAAACAAAAGAAGAGAGTGTGTGTGTGTGCATGTGTATGTGTTTGTGTGTGTTCATGTATATGCACTTGTGTTGGGTCAATGGGACAGAGGCTAAAGCCTTTACCCTTGCTCTCCCACAGCCCAAGCATAGATCTTTCCAGTCCCCGTGACAGGTATTACCTGTTCCAATAGAACTTTAGCCTTTCCTTCTGCTTCCTTCAGGCAAGTCTCCAAGTGCTCCAGGTGTTCCAAAGTAAACGCCGCCATCTGTCCATTGACTGGTAAGTCTTCCTTCAAAACAAGAATCAAGGTTTTGGGTTTGGGTTTTTGGTAGGAATTATTTCCTGAGAACTTTTTGAACAATTTTCTGAACTAAAAGCAAGTTTCATTCATAGACTCCTACCAATCTTCTTTTCTTATTACTAACAAAACAGCAGATTGTTATTAAAAAAAAAAAAAAAAAAAAACAACTCAGTCCCAAGGGAAGGCAGAAAATAAGGAAGAAGGAACAACCTCAGAATGTGAGAATAAAACTGCCCATGCTCGAATTTGGTTAATTTGCAACTTTTGTTCTTCAAGAGGGTAGGATCAAAGTTTCACATTCTGATAGGAAATGTCACCTACATGCTATGTGTTGAACACTCATCTTTCAGGAAGGTCATCTGAACTCAATACAGTGCCTTTTGATTTTCTCCTGTCTGTTCAGAGACAGAGCCAAGACAACCATGGTTTAAAATGAGCTTACTCTTCCCACACACAGCCTAGCTAAAAAGACCCAAACCGCCAGACACAAACCTCCCAAAATTCCTCTACAGTTACTTTCTATGATCTATGAGATGAGTAGAGAGTCGGTATAGAATTAGTCATGGACTGGACTCTAAACCTTGAGAATGTCCTAAGCATTCTTTGGCTAATGTAGCAATCACTATTTCAGGTTAGTTTGAAAACGTAGAGCAGAAAGGCCCAGACGGGAGCAAGCATTCTGACTTCCCTGGATATGTGCTATTTTCTTGTGGATGCTCCAGCTGGACGACTGTTTCTGATCAACCTTACAAAGAGTAAACTGTGGTCCTACGTACTCTAAAGATAGCAGCTTTGTTTTTTCCCTCCCGTTTATGACTCTATCAGTTTAATGTGTGTGTGTGCATTTCCTGGTAATACTATAGTGCCATCTGGTGGTAAATGGAACCAGCCATTTAAAATAAAACGTTCATTCTGTTTGTCTGGATGAATCTTGGGGCTGTGCCTCTGGCCTAGTGAAATGAATGGACCACTGCAGGATAAAAGACAACAAAATGTTTCCAGGATACAACAAATCTTGCTTCAAGACCCATGTCTGTCATACACAGCTGCATAGCTCCCTCCAACATTTGCCTGCAGGGGGTGAACATCTTAGGCTAGAACAGTGATGGTACAGGCCATGTGAGCCAATTGTCCATCCTAGACCAGGGTGATTTAGTCAATTCAAGAACGGGTTCATGATCTATTAAATACAGAGACTAACTGTGTGGTGCCCAGTCCCAATGAATACATTCTACAAGACAAACCCCACACCTGCGTCTCAGGAAACATCATGGAAGAGACAGACAGAAAGATTGAAAGAGCCAGAAAACTGAGTAAATGACAGGAAAGCTGTACCAAAATTGCCACAATGTGGTCGCCTAAACAAAACCTTAAAAAATGACACCACCTATTGGCATGCCAGAGTTGATGAGGGATTCTCAAAGAATTTCATTCACAGAAGAGCTAAAGGCAGTAGATGGTTGCTGTGAGAGGGTCAATCGGTCTTCTTCAGGGACAAGACCCCCCAAAAGGTCCACCAGTCTCAAGAGATCAGCCCTAAACACATACAAGCAACACTAGGTGATCTCCAGTCAGATGTATTAATAAATGTACGTACATATATATGTAACAATGATGTTTTTAATGGGTTCAAATGTTCCCCAAAAAGCAACCTCAAGACCAAGTTCTTGGATATTTATACTTAGAGATAAACACACACCGTACAGCATTTTAGGCAGAAAGGGAGATCACAAAGAGGTCTGACGAATCCACTATGTGAAGTCTGTTCCAGATTGCTATCACCAGGGAGAACCCTCCTGACTGAAATTCAATCCCAGGGGAAAAGTTTTAAAAATCTGTGTCAAGATCAGCTAATCCATTTCTTAGTCCTTTTTCTCCAAGCACCCCAAACTTCTCCAACCAAGAAATTTAACCACATGAGTAAGACGGAAGCTCCACAAAGTCAAAACCAAGCAGAACCGACTGCTATTGAAGACTCAACTACCAAGGACTTTTGGACAGACAATTTTAGGAACTTGTCATGTGTTCCAGGATGCAGCAGAACCTCAGCAAACTCTAAAACACACTTTGTATCCTGCACCTGCACCCAGGCACGGGCTACTTCCACACTTTCTTAAGCATCCCAAGTGCTCTCCTCACAGTCTTATAAGAAAGAGCTTATACAAAGGCAAGTGTTTCTCAATAAGAAGCAAATCCATTAACCAAATGAAAAAATAAAACTTAAAAATAAAGTTAGGAATGAGCAAAACATGAAGTTATGAGCTTTGCCTGGAGGGGCACCCTGAGTTTCAGAAGCCCTGAAAAGGTAAAATGCAGTCAGTCATTGTCCATTTTGTAGGATAGGAAGGCAGAAAATCAGAGACGGGACTTAAGTCAGGAGTTTAAGCCCTCGTACACACAATAAATCTGTACTACTTATAAAATTGAACACTCTCAATGGCTAAAGAATTGATAGGTGGATTATGATAATTATCAATTTGTTTCATGAAAACAAAAAACTTTGATAAGAATGCAATAAAAGGGAATACTTACACACTGCTGGTAGGAATGTGAATTAGCCCAGACACTATGAAAGTCAGCATAGAGGGTCCTCAAGAAAACAAGACTAGAACTATCACATCATCTACCTATACCACTCTTGTGTATATACCCAGAGAGTCCAAGTTAGCATACCACGGAGATATCTACACATCCATGTTTATTGCAACAACGTTCACAACAACCAAGCTATGGAATCGGCTTAGATACTCATCAATGAATGAACGAATAAAAAAATGTGGCATATGTACACAGTGAAGTTTTATTTAGCCATGCAGAAGAATGAAACTATGCCATCAATAGGAAAATGGATGGAGCAGAAGATCATTATGTTGGGTCACATTGTTGATCTCAAGTGTGGCACATTTCTCTCATGTGTGGAAGAAGGAGGGGAGAGTCGAGGGACATTGGGGTGTGACAGGAGAAAGGGGGGCTGGAGGGAGAATAAGAAAGGGTAACAGAGGGGATGAATGTGATCAATGTGCATTCTAAACAAGCATGGAAAGGACAATGAAAAAAGAGGCGGCCGCATGACCCCACAATGCAAAAGTACAAGTGATAATAAATAGGACTGTGATTTCTCAATGGATAAATTCCAATAACTCAATAACTCCTATTTCTAATATTTAATTTTAGGTTTTAAATATTTCTACATAAATGTCAAATCAATCTAAAGACATGTAGTTAAAATGATCAAACTAAAATAAAAGTAAATAATTTTAATCATCAGACATATTCTTTGATTACAGTAAAGTGCCAAACTATTATACACGTGAGCATGCATTTGGATTGAGAGTTTATTAATGGAACAAACATACAAAACATAAGCATAGGCTTGTTTTCGGTTGTACAAGTTTCTCATCTGAGTTTAGAGGAAAATTTACATTTCTCTCTCTCTCTCTCTCTCTCTCTCTCTCTCTCTCTCTCTCTCTCTCTCTCTCTGTTAATCGATCCCAGTACTTTCTCTGTATCCTCACTAGTTCTAACTAGCTTTATTTCTGTGTCCTCAGATGACTTATCTGTGTTGGCCATTAAACTTCTTCAAACCTTGAGAGCTGGTTCAAGGTCACTAACGGATACAACTGATGTTCTACTCCTAGTCTGGCTGGTGTGTGCAGAGGTCACCCAGGACTTTGCCGAGGCTTTAACTGAAGCCAAATAAATAACTGTTGATTGATCAGAGGCCCAGCAGCTCACGGAAGATGGTTGTACCAGAGCAAGCTGTCCTTCATGCTGAGTGTTGACAATGGCTTCTTTTAGCAATACTTCCCGTGGATCCTGCCTGTGACACCAAGGGAGTTGACAGCCCCAGGAAATTCTGCTTGCCAGGGCTCGGGATGAGATGGGGTAGCAGAGGGCAAGTCTATGGTTGTGGGGTTAGGTGATGGTAGGGCGGTTATAAAGACAAAGCTTTAATCAAATAAAGTAGGTAAACACTTCAACAGATGACACATTCAATAAATAGTAATAATTTCATTAAAAACCAACTTGAGAAGAACAGTTTGGTACTAAAGCCTTCCAGCTGATTAAAAAAACATTAAAAGAGAATTCTCACAAGTACAGCTCTGTGCTCAAATGACAGTGGTGAAAAATTCTGTTGTGGAATTAAGCTAGCTAGTGCAACCAACACACGCATGGACATTCATTTAAAAGAAAAATTGCTAAAAAGAAAGTGGCCGTAGGAGCTACCTTTATAGAAAAGCATTTTGACACAGGTTGGTTTTAGAGACAGTCTCTAAAATCTGAGACTTCTAACATGCCAAGTGCCCAGCAGGGCTCCCTCCTGCTCGGAGGTACAGTCACTTCCTTCCATATTAGAAATTCTTTCAGCAAAGTTTGCAGTGGTTGAGCTTTCTGTCTGGCATCTCATCTCCTCATTGATGCTGTCTGTTCTTTTTCTCTCTGCTTGGTAGACACCAATGGGCTTTGATGTCTTCTCCTACCTGCTGCCTGCTCAGATTCCCTGCAGGTTCAGGTCTGTCTCTGCTGCCATCTCCTTCATAACTTGCCCCCATTCCTGAGCTCTGAATTACAGACACTTAATCATTCTTTCTCTCTCATTTTTTATGATGGGAATTCACTCACAGTGGAAATTTCATCACCGTCTCCAGTGAAACAGCATTCATCTATGTTGGGGCTGCCTTCTAACCACCCAATAAGATATTAAAGTTCAAACCTGGAGGCTGCATGGAGCATCTATCAACATGACTGAGCAGGAGGTGCTGGGGGAAGCAGGTAGGAGGGCACTGTCTAGAGAGCGCTCTTCTCATCTGGGAGGTTGTGTTCTCTCTCTGACTTGATTGTGTCACTTGACTTGTCTGTCTGAATTTCCATCTTTCAGTTAAGAAAATATGTCCTGGCAATCGACTGTTCCAAAGGAGTGACTGGGGAAAAGGAATTGAAGGACCTGTTTAAAGGTGTGGGTATTGCTGAAGTCCTCCACAGACAGT